CTTTCTTTACATGTTCAGTAGTATCCAAGCAAGATCACCCAGGTTTGTGTGTTGGCAGAGAATGGTGGCGTTGGGGNNGGGGGGGGGGGGTGGCAAACGCGAAAACGGCTCAGCAGTCCCATACGTCGTACACCGAAGCCCGCAAGCTTGGGAATTTTGGGTGCATGGAATTTTGATGTCGCTAGGTGAGGCTTGACTAGGCCGCCCACCACTGTGGAGGGTGGGAACCGCCGCGAGACCCATATCATGCAAGACCCCGAGGCACCACGGAACTCACATCATAGACCCTGTACATCCCTTCGCAAAGCTTCATGCTAGTCTTCCCTTTTCAAAGTTGTCAATCAAGTGGGCTCCATTTAAGGCTAGGGCCTGGATTCCCCATTGAGGAAATGCATTCCCAGTGCTCGCTCCTTTACAAGGACCCTAAGTCTAAACCCCTAAACCCTAAACCCTATACCTTCTCGCAAAGCCCACATGCAGGCGGTACAGGGACGAGCCGAGTCACTTCAGGAATTGACCAAGGCAGGCTACACTTTAGGGTTTAGGGTCTAGGGTTTACAAGGTTTTGGGGTTCTTTAAGGGTTGAGCTTTGAGGTTTAAGGTCTAGAGTCTAGAGCTTCGGTCTTAGGAGCACCCACGTATAGCGTTAGAAACAAGCATATGGACTTAGCGTGGCCACCCTGTTAGTTTTGGTGGTGGTGTCACCTGGGATTTGTGGTTCGCTGCCTTTTGGTTTAAGGGCTTTGCATGCCACTTGGGGATGTCTATACTTGAGACCCACCTTCCGGGGGTTCCTCATAGGGACCGACAATCTCGTCCTCATCCACACCCACTGTACTCACTCATTGTTGGCTGCAGTTTTTCTACTTCCTTCCATATTCACAAGAAAAAACAACAGGCTGGCTTCTAAAAGCATTCCAAGAAGGAAGTTGCATTGTTTTTATGTTGTTCGATAATTCTGAGTCCCACGCCTTCGGGACAGAACTCAAATCCTTGACAGGTGGCTGGCGCCGCCTTTCACCCGCTGGTGAGGCCTGAGCCTCCTAGACACGACACCCTGAACCCCACTATCAAAGGGCTTAGGGTTGGAACGTTAACGTTGGAACCCAGGGCTCTAAACCCAAAACCCCTGCATTTGGGTTCTGCAAGATTTTTCCGGGTATCCTATAGAGGGTTCTATCGCGCCAGCTTAAGGCAACTTCTGAAAAGTAGGTGATAGTATCCTCTGCCCCAACAATCAGCCTCCCCCGCGCTAATTATTCCCAATTTAGTACGATCATAGAACCGTGGGAATATGTTTTTTTAGGGGCTGGGCAGGTTCTTTTTTTGGGGAGGTGATTCCGGGTGAAGCCGGCCATGACAAATGGGGCGAGATCTTCAATCTGGCTGATCGAAGTTCACTCTGGCAACGACAACGCTTAGGAACCTTTGCGCGCAATCCGCGCATTCAGCCAGCTGCGCGGCCAGCCGGCACGAGGCCACTGTCATGCAGCAGTTTCCCATCGAGCGGAAGGTTGAAGTCCCTCCCATGACTGGGGCAGTCCGGAAATTGAGCGCCTGGTTTACGGATTGTCTTTCAAGACCAGCAAAGGCCGTGAGCAAGGTGGACGCGGCGTCGCTCAGCACGGTCACTACATCTCGGCCCCGCGAGTCCGGGTCGGGGGAGGACACAATGAGATGCAGGAAGGGGGGCCTGTCAAGATTATGGTGTTTCTGAATGCGGCCTGCATGCGGTTCCATGTGAGTAGTACGTCGTTAGTTTGAGATGCGACATAGTACCCAATATACAGTAAGCTTGTCTCTTCCGTTTGATTATAAAATTTGTATAATCAGAATAGAATCTTATGTACTAGTGGCTCAACCACTAAACAGGGGACTGCTGATATGAGTTTGGGGAGGGTAGGGGGCCTTCCTTTGCTTACTTCGAGATACTTCGAGTATCAAGCAATGGCCCCTTCAGCTGTCCAGCGCACATGTTGTCATAACAGGAGTCGCAGGATTGTAGGGTCTAGGGCTTGAGGGCTATAGCCAAAACATCTGAAGCTGAACTAGTTCCCAGGCGCCGTGTGCACCTCCCCCAAATAGTCAGGGAACCCTCAAAAATGACAACTTAATGACCGTGTAAAGCCCAAACTCAAACAATTCAAGCAAGACCGCCCCTATAACAAACATGGAATCCTTTTAAGCCCTCTTGGAAAAGCCGGTCGTCTTTGAGGGGTGGCCGACAGCGTAAGGGCCCCCTTTTTGGCACATCCCGCGTGCAATGACAGAAAGCGACGATCATGACATGACATGACATGACATGACATGACATGACATGACATGACCGTTATCCACAAACCCTGAACTCTAAACCCTTAAGCTAATCCGTGCCCAGCTGAGCAGATGATACCTTAAACTCTAAACATTAAACCTTAAACTTACTGCGGGCCAGTAGGGAAGGAGGGACTGTATTATATAGAGTTATATAGAGAATATCTTCCCCTATTCCCGACTAACCACCAGCCAGTAAGTTCAACCCTCAGGTGTACATCGCTCTGAGCTTGAAATAGGATCCATCTTAGGGGCCCGTACCCTAAACCCAAAACCTTACACCCTAAAACCTTAGAAACCCTAGCATCCCCCTAAAACCTCAGAAAGTTTTGTGCGCCAGGTTAGGCTTCTTTGTTCCACTGGCACTATGCGCTACAGCACTTCTGGGCCGTGCCGGCGACTTGGGGGGCTCTACTTGGAGGGTGGGGTTTAGGGTTTACGTAGGGTTTATGCTATTTAGGGTTTAGGGTTTTTGGTCAATGAGACTTAATAAGTAAGTTGATAAAGGGGATAACTAGAGATACTACATGGGTTATACGGGTTATTCGCCTACTTACTGAGTGCCTCTGACCCTCAAAGTAGGGGTCGTAGGTCTTAGGCTCTACCCTCCACAGGACAAGCACAGAAGCCCGCATTGGCTTCTTTCAAAAGCACAGCGTTCCTTAAGGGGCTCCTCTCGGCCTTTCATGTTAGCTTGGGGAGGGTAAGATTTTTAGCGTTCAGGGCTTCGGGTTTAGGGTTTAGGCCTAAACGTTACGCTCCCCCAAACTAACATGGAAACCCAAATTACCCATTTTGAAAGGGACTGTAGTCTTTATAGGGCCCTTTTTGGGTTTCCATGTTAGTTTCCGGGAGTGTAAGAATTTGGGGTTGAGGCCCACCATGACCTTGATACGGAGTCTCAGGTCTACACCCTGTCCGGGGAGATCTGCGACGCGGTGTCAGGTGCAACATCTGCGCGCCTTGCCCTGCATGAAGGTTTAGGGTTTAAGGACTTCGGAGCAAGGTGGACATAATGATTTCCGCACCTGATACGTAAATGCTCCAGAGAGCCCATGCTCCATACAGTATCAGACTTACAAGACCCACATATGTGTCAAGTCGTGTTCAACATGCCCTGGACCTTTTCCTTAAGGGAAGGGGGTTTAGTAATAACGGGTCTGGGCTAGTAGGGACTGAGTGTGGCAGTATATTGCATAGGGGTATTCCGGTATTCCCTACTACCCCAGCCAAAGCCCAAGCATGCGGGTCTACCTACAAGCCCTACACGCTCCGGTTTAGGGTTTAGAGGTCTAGGGTTTTAGGGTTTAGGGCTTAGGATTGAGGGTTTAGGGGCTTAGGGTTTAGGATTTAGGGTTTAGCGTCTTCTGCGCTCTTGTTTCTGCAGTTGGGAGGGGCCTCTACAAGGGCTGTATGGGGCCCTCTGCTGTACCATCCCCACGCCATCACCGTCTCCAACTTGTGTTTCATTGCATTTCCCATGTGATTCTCCGCGCTCCCCGTAAAATAGCCCCCCTATCCTGACTTGACTGTGCATCTCCTGCTGTAGTCTTTTGAGGAACTGTTTTCCATTCCTTTTTCTAGCATAACCTCAAGAAATTCTTCTCAAATATCAGTTTTATAGGTCTAGGAGTATTCTGGCTGGTCACGTCCATGTCTTGGAGGTGGGGGGGGGTTGACTATGACAGGGCTCCTAGGTGTGATGGCGACAAAGATGGTGGCTTATGTTGGGAAGGCCTAAAGGTAAGGCTGAATTTAGCATAGCTCTTCCTTCCTTGCTTCCTTCCACCCTTGCCTCCATTCCAAAGTAGAACGCCCCTAAACCCTAAACCCTTCTTCTGCCTTGCCAGAACAACCTAGGCTCCTTCCAGACAGCACAACTCTACTACGGCTCCCAGGCAGTTTGAAATAAGTCGAGGGCAAGCTTAGGGTTTAGGGTTAGGCTTTGGGTCTTGTCGTATTGTGTTTCTTTTTTATGTATGGTTACGGGCCATTGTTTTACCTGTTCTTTGAGGGGCAGGTAGGTACTGTTGTTCAGTGTGCAGCGTTAAATATTGCTCCGTTCTAACATTTCTTAAGCTACAAGGCCCAGAATCCGGCAATTTATATCACGCCCTTTGAAGGAGTTTGAGATTGAACTTTACGGCTTAGGGTTAGGGTTAGGGCAGCCTAAACCCTAAGCCCTCAAGTTTGACCCTGCCTCTGTGTTCAGTCAAGGCCTTTATTCAGCGGCATGCTGCGCAGAAGGCGTCGGAACTCAGAACCGCAAGCAAACTTGTCGTTCAAACCCCAAGACCCAACTCTCTATACCCCTATCCCTGAGGGTCGCAACCTACACTACAATTGCTAGTACCAAAACCCCACGTACCCAATTAGTAACCACACATGGACCCTTAGGGTATGTCCTACACCCTAGACCCCAAAACCCTACACCTGGTTTAGGGTTTACGGAACCGGAAATCACAAAACCTATGTTGGTGCCACACCTTGAACGTTTGGTCAAAACATCCTGACCCTAAAGGTCCGACCCCGAACTCGATATTTGCAGCTTCCTGAACTGTGGGTCCCTCTTGTATACACGAAAATCCCTAAACCCTAAACCATGAAACCCGAATAAACCCGATATTGTTCCTTATCATAAAGACTCCCTGAAAGATTCCTTCATTTTTGGAAAGCCCCATGGGCAGGCCCCATCCCCACATCTTCCAGCCTCCAGCTGCCGTCCAGCGCTGAACGTACTATAGTCTAAACTCCTGAACGAATGGGTTTATATTATCGCGTTCTGAAGGGGAATACTAGGAGTTCAGACTATAGCTCAAATACTTGGAAGTTAGGACTACAAAACTTTTCGGGGTCGAAAGGCTGACTGAGTGGCTCAGGGAAGTTATAAACCAAGTATAGCCGGTACTTCTAAACCATGTATAACCATCTAAGGGGACTTGGGTGATTACAGCTACAGTTCCACTGGGGCTCTGATTGCCCTGAATTTCCAGGTATAGGGTACAGCTAAACCCTAAACCCTAAACCATGTTCGTGCTTCAGGGTTTCAGGGTTCAGGTCTCGGGCCCTGCCTAGACCGTCAATGGAATGGGTGTAGCGCGTATAAGGGCTTAGGGATTAGTAGGATTTAGGGATCAACAACAAGATGGTGTAGGGTAGCTACGTGGACTTTGTCGCAGGCCTGGGGTGGCTGAGTAAGGTGATGTAGGGGCAAGACATGACCTAAATGATTACGGCAAAGTTTGGGAAAAAAAAGAGGTTGAATTAGAATGTAGAGGTGATACTCTTCCTAGGTATTCCGGCCTGTGACGAAGTACTTGAGAGTTCTGCAGTTGGCTGCAGGTGTAGAAAAATGCCATTCTTTCCCTGCCGACCCCGGGATGACAAATAATACGTTGGGTACTGCCCCCCCCACTCTGGAACAGTTGGATAGTACATCTATATATATATATATAAAGTAGTTATATAGCCCTCATTATCCCCTCATATAGATTGTTATAGGGTGGGGGCAGTACCCAAGCTATACGTGGGTATCCTTCTTAGGGGGACGCGACACACAGAAGTGCAATGTCACGAACTTCTATTACACAGGGAACCTGCATGATTTTCCAGAGATTTTAAAGAATCCCTTTAGCTCTACTAGCTGCAAGTTTTACAGCGTTTATGAGGTTTTTTTTTTGCGTGCGGACACTTCAACAATCTCGTAGGACTGCAAAAAACGAAGTTTTATGCTTGATGGGTCAACGTACTCAAGCCTGGTTATCCTGCAGTGAGTCCTTAGGACAAAAGCATGTAGCTGCGGGCACGTTTGTCACACTCAGGGCGGCACCCGCTGCGAAGGCGTTGGATGATGAGGACAGCCGTGCTAAGAACATGTTCTTGTAACCCAACCCCCCTAAAGCATATAATCCCAATATAACACATATGATATAGTAATAGTAGTTTCCATTTTCTTTTCCATTATCCCTATATAACCCCAATATCCTAAACACTGGGCCCCACAATCACACGACGAAGATTGGGTCCTGATTTCAGTGCGGGCAATCTGGAAGTTCAAGTCTACCCAATTTGCGAGCAGACATTGACCCTAGACCCCTAAACCCTTAATTTACTAATAATATTAATGATAGCAGTAATAATAATAGCATTAATTATGTATAATAGCAATAATAATAGTAGTACTAATCATAGAAATAAAATAATAGCAATAATAGCAATAACAATAAACACCTAAACAATTCCCAATGGGCTGCAGTGCAGGAGAGGGATCAGAGGTTCGTGGGAAGGGTGTTAGTGTAGGCTGCCATGGCGTAAGTGTGAAGGATTGCAGGTGACGGTTGAGAGCTTAGGGTTTAGGGTTCAGGGTTTATGGGTTTAGGGTTGAGGGTTTAAGGTTTAGGGTTGAGGGGATACCCTGCCGGACCCTGCCGATGCTTTTTGGCATTGCCTCTGACTTTATCGGAGAGACGTTGCGCGGCATATAAGTGATGACTTTTGCTATTGCAGTCTGGACTGGTTCTCAGTCAGGGTATAAGATCACCCTATTGCAATCCCCATAAAATGTATTCCCTTTTTCCGTAAACCCTGAACCCCGTCCAGTACATTGAGCTGCCCGAGCAGCTGCAAGCATTCTGAAGCAATCAAAACCGCACTGTTGCTCAAATATGGGTGGTTCCAAAGTTGGGGGGTACCATATTATTGGGCCCCTAGAATAAGGATCATAGTATATTGGGGTCTACATTATTGGGGTCCCCTCATTTTGACAACCTACCATACTTCCGCTGCAAATGATCAAGGCCCCTTCCGACCTTACTCCAAATGCAAAAGGGGCCCTGCAAAGATTACTGTCCTCTTGGAACCGGTGGCTGTACGGGGTTCCATGTTCAACGGGGGGATGGTATCTGTTTTGAGTAATCCCTATGTGAGCTGTAGTCTAAACTCCTACTATCACCCTTAGTAACCCCCGTTATAACAGTCCCCAAAAATAGCCCCATATAACCCTCTTTAAGGAGTCTAGAGTATAGCTCCCTAAACCCCTAAACCCTAAACCCCTAAACCCTAAACCCTAAACCCTTTGTGTGTTGCTCGAGGACGTTGGCGAGCCAGTTGACGCCGAGGAGCAGATGACTGTCGAGGCCTGATGTCCTGGCATTCCACAGAACTGCAGAGACCTAGGGTTTAGGGTTTAGGGTTTGCAGCAACAGTCCCATGGGGAAAAAGTGTGCTAGGGATTCAAGAGTTGAGGGTTTGATTAGGGTTCAGGAACACGAACAACTCTCAACCTGATACACCCTACCAGCTTAAACCCTCAAAAGTTGTGTCTAATGGTGAGGAACCCTAAACCCCCAAACCCTAAAACCCTAAAACCCTGAACCCTCAAACCCTAAAACCTAAACCCTAGGACCTATATAAACCCCAAAACCCCAAACCCTACACCTCGCCTCCGAGGCGTGTGGTGTGGAAGCCAGCGAGACTGTAGAAGTCACGGAGATGGCAGCTGAGCAGGAGCACTTTCTGGCTTTCTGAATGTCGGTTTCAGGCTAGTATTATGGGGTGATTAAGGTGGATATTAGGAGTTTACACTCTAGTTGAAGACTTACAAATACTTCTTCTTTTTTCTCATTTTTTGGTCCCCTGCATTACTGAAGTGCTATACGCAGATTGCTGGAGGGACCATCGACCTGGACATCCGTGTGTTCTTCTCTGGCCGTGTGGGTGCGAATGACATGGTGCTGAATCCCAAACCTACACCCTCTGGGTTCAAGAAAAACCCTAAATCTATATAGTCCACCTTAAGTGGATAGAATATGGCTTTGGCTTTGGGTATATTAAATACGATCCCCATATACCCCTTATTCTATCCACTTAAGGGGGACTAGACTCCAGAATCCCGAGCTTTGTACATTGCCTTCCCCCCCTGGATTCGGCCTTGAGTCCTGAACTCTACGCACTTCTCTCGCTAAACCCTCAACCCTTGTCATCTTTGCAAGGAGGAGGTTTCCCAGTCGGCAGCGCTCGCTCCACCTGACATAGAGGACACGGTAAGTAAGCTTATGAGGTTGAAGGTTCAGGGTTTAGGCTCTAAAGGCTTCATGGGTGAAAATTGTAGGATCTAGGGTTTTGCCTGATGGCTTTCGGGCTCAGGCTTTAAGGGTTCAGAGGTTAAATTGGGGGACGCCAATACAGACCCCACTATATTATGTTCCCTATCATGAGGACCCCCAAATTTGGGAAACGCCTAGGTCTAACTTCCTAAAACGTGGAGACCCTTAGATACATGAACCCTAAACCCTAAACCCTACTGATTTTTGGTCCCAATGCATCTTGGTGCGTAAGCTCAGGTGGTCTATCTGTTACTCCTGTATACCTGGTCTCAAATATGGCAGTTTCCCAAAATGAGGGGACCCCAAAATGTAGACCCCAAAATATTACAATCCTTATTATGGGGACCCCCAAAATAGTACTAATTATGGGAAACTCCCATATACCCCAAATTACCATCTGATCACTTCAGCCTGTTGAGTTAGTTCTACCGGATTGCAAGGATGCTGGTGTGCCGGTGGATACCGCGGACATGCTGATTGAGGTGTCGTGCCAGCCATAGTGTATGTGAGGGTTGGTGTGCTCAAGGATTCAGCCTTTCCTTACTACTTTACCTTACGTCAAGGTGACGATATCCTCATTAGAAGGACCCGCATGAGGGCAAAGGGACAGTCGACGACTCAACGAGGGCAAGTATCCCTGCAAAGGATCCCTTCATGGTGCTTTCTACCGATTCTACCTCAACCATCGACGAATATTCGTGATCCTAAAGAACAAGTTCTCTGACTGTTTCTTACAATAAGGGAATGTACCATATAGGGTTAACACAGGGAATACATTCCCTTATTCCCCAAGAACGAGTAAGTTCTAGCAGCCAAACTCTCCTCGAGTCCCAATATCAAAGCACTCCAGCGCAAAACAAACTTTCATTAAATTGCGTGGGCATACATGAACCTGGGGGTGTGAAAATGGCGGTGACTAGTTCATGAGTTCTTCATTTTGCAGCTACTACCCTTTTCATGCAGTGCCCACCGGTGCCCTGCTTTTTGCATAGCTTATTTGGCGAATGACTCTGCAGAGGCCTTTACAAGAAGTCTCTCAGCCTTGAGGTTCCTTACGGAAGTTGGCTAACAAGATTTGGAAATCCTATTCCAGGCTTTACAGGAAGTTCCAGAAGGATAATGTTCAGTCTTACTTTCATCTATAATCCTAACACCAGCTTATTGAAGTATATCTCTACCAAGGGTCCAGGGAACTTGGAGCTTACATTGTGTGGAGTTCAGCGCTTAAGGGCTTATGGTGTAGGGCGTCGTGGTTTTATACCCCTAGAGCCTGAAACCCTAAATCACTAAACTCTAAATTCTCAGCCCTAAACCGCAAAGTTTCCTCAGATTGACCGGTCCAATCAATCTACTGAGCCAAGAAACGCCGTGCTCAGAACAGATGGCCTTCCTTGCACCGTTTACATAAACATTTAGACCCACAGTGAGTGAGTTTTAGTTTGTAAGGTTCCAAAAGTGGCCCATGATCCTGAGAAGCAACAATACTATTCCCGCGGCTTCAGGGCGTTACACCTACCTCAGGTTAGCAGGGAGTCAAGGACTTGAAAGAAAGAACATGGAAACCACGATATTTTCGATATTTTCGGGTTCCACTGGGACGACTGGAAGGACCCATTCCTTCCGTCCTTGAGACCCAGAGGTAAGTACATGCTCTGCAGCGTGGCTCAAAGTGGACGCTTGCACTCCTACTTAGCGCGGCAATCACACACGGAGCTGCTGCATGTACACAACCCTTCGCAAGATTTCTTCACAATTTGTTCAAGAATTGGTAGTAGGTGCAAGCACGGCATGGATTGTGTTGCTTTGTCCAGACATATATATAGTCCGCCTTAAGTAGATAGAATATGGCTTTGGGTATATTAGTCTAAACTCCTTAAAGGGTGTTATATAGGGGGTTTAGGGTTTAGGGGATTATATGGGGGACTACTTTAGGGGTTATTAAGGGCGATACTAGGAGTTTTGACCATAGCTCATATACTAGACTAGCCGGTTCTGCATCCAAGCCACCAAGCATCTCCTCTTTGAGAGGTTGCAGACTCAGGGGTGGGCGTAGAGGGACTCCTTTGGCCCCCATGGGCCCTGCAACCACGTCAAAGGGGTTGCCGGCAGCTTGCCTGCAAAAACTGCCTTTGGTTAGCGGGGGATGAAGGAATGGAAAAGAAAATGGAAACTACTACAGGGTTTAGGGTTTATGAAAGAGAAAATGCAAACTACTCGAACGGGTTATGTAAGGACTACTATGGGGATCCATTCCTTCATTCCTAGCTGGCCAAAGGCCAGAAAAGTGCGAGGGTAGGGTTGATTCAGGGCAGCATCTAGGGTTTAGCGGTTTAGGGTTTTAGGGTGTAGGGTTTTAGGGTTTAGGAGTTGAGGGTTTCAGGGTAAGGCTTTCAAGGTCTGGGGTGTAGGATTGGGGTTGACGGCTTTCTCGAGATGTGAGGGTCCTTTTTTTGGGGGCGGACATGAAGTTATGCAGGGCAAGAAGAAACATGCAGGTTTGGGGGATTAGGAGTGAGGCTTTTGGGAAGATTCAGGCACTTACAGTGACTACAACCTCAAGAAAGGCCTCCACATCATGCAAACAGCTTGCGGGATTGAATGGAAAGTTTTTGATTTGAGCCATAGCCAAAAAACTCCTGGTATCGCCCCTAGTAACCCCTAAGATACTCCCCTAAGTACAGTAATCCCTTATATAACCCTCTTTCAGGAGTTTAGCCTATCACTCATATGGCTTCTAGCACTAGCATTTCAGAATGCCAGAATCACACGGGGCTGCGCTCTCCAGTGATTGGATCCTGCTTGAACTTCAAATAAGCAAGAGTTTAAACTTCTTAAAAGGGGGTTATGTAGGGGAGTGTTATAGGGCTCATTGAGGGTGATACTAGGAGTTTAGACTTTAGCTCACGCAGCCCACTTTCACGAAGAAACCCGCTCCTCTCCTACCCCAGGACTCCCATGCTGGGCCTCTTACGTTGTTTTTTCCTGGTTTTCAGTAGGGAATAACGGAATATACATATATGTAGAGACAGATATACTTATTATCCCTATACATATTTTTCCTTATTCCCTATTAACCCCCAGTAAACTTTAGAACGCTTCTTTCCTCGCTGCTGTGGCTATTCTCATCGTGGCTCCTAGTGTGAAGTTGCCAACGCAGGATCCTTAAGCTGACAGGAGGGGGGGGGTCCCCTAATTGGGGGGTATCTTTTAAGTGGGTCTAGGGTTTAAGGGGGTCCCTATAATATGCATTATGGCATTTGGAGGTCTATATTGGGGTTGCGCAAACGACGTTTTGTTAATCTCTGCCTTGCGGAGTGGGGCGGGTGGAGGGCATGAGGGGGTTTAAAGGTTTCAGGTGTTAAGGAGGGGAGGGGGGCGTTGGTAATCCCGAGCCCCAAAACATGGACTCTGTAATTATCGTATGATGTTTGGAGAGTCTTGGTTCTGGGGAGGGGGTCACCCCAGACCCCTTATGCTTCAATAGCAATAGCGCCATCTTTTTTTTGCCCAGTTTCCATTTCATGTTCCATGTGATTGTCTGTTTCATTCTTCATCATAGTGAATGGAGCGACCAAGATCTCCAAACTAGCCAGACATATATATATATGTATATATACATATATATCATATACACAGCATCCCCCGCTAATCTGCAACTTAAGCCCCAGAAGCTTAAGTTCGGAGTCTGCAGAGGCGGCGGTGGTTCTCAGCCAGCGACCGCGGCCTAGCGTTTATGAACTCCCTGACGCCTCGCGCGATGCTTTAGGCTGGGTTATGGGTTAGGATCTAGGGTTATAATAGGGTTATAGGGCAAAGATTAAATGTTAAAGTCTAGGGTTTAGGGCTTAGGTTGGCTTACGGGGATTCAGAATTAAGCGTTTAGGGCGGTGTGGGTTAGGGGATTTGAGGGTTGATGTTTTAGGGGTTGAGGGTCTACCAGGTTCAGGGTTCGTGGTTGACAAGCCCTTGGCTGGGTTCGGGAAAATTGCAGACTCTCTTGATTTATTCAATCTGCTTAGTAGCCATGGTTGTGGCTGTATGGGCTATAATAGAAGATTACCGGGGATAGTGGGTAGACTCTCAAAAGATCTTCCAAGTTCGGCACACTGAGCCTCTAAGGGTTTGAGCTTCAGGGTTCAAGGTTTTGCAGGCTTGTGGAACAAGTGTTTAGCATTTATGTTCAGGATTCAGCATAATTTAGAACAGAGTCTATGTCCCAAAGCCTAAATCCCTACGCCCTAAACCCTAAATGCGTAAACCTTAAACCCTAAACCCTCATCAGGGTACAGGGTCTGGGGCTTATACTGCTTTCTAATTTTGACACTCCATAGTGTCGTTGGGCAATTCAACATGATGCCCAAGCCCTAAACCCGGAGCCCGTTAGGGGTTAGTTGCAAAGAT